TGACTGGGATGGCCTTCTCTGTCCCCGTATCCAGGCTGGCAATAATTTCGTTGTCATTTGCTGTGCGGTGACCACATCATTGATGTGACAGTGCCGGGCATTAGGTAAAGTCCCCAGACTAGTGCTCACTTACAGAAGCTGCCTCGATCTGTCATTGACAGTGATTCGATTAGACCTGGCTGGCAAACACGTTCCTTGGTGACAGGACCTCTTGAATTGTGCGGTCCTTAACCAACCTTCAAGAACTTTAATATGTGATTTTTTTTTTTTTCATTTATATTCATGCATTTGGCAGACACTTTTATCCAAAGTGACTTACAGTAGATTGAATTAAAGGTATACAGTTTATCAGTTCATGCATTCCCTGGGAATCAAAACTCATGACCTCGGTGTTGAAGCAGCATGAAAATGCATTAATTTCTCAAATGATTTTGTCCTCGTCTCAATTTAGTTCGCTTCGGATGCATTGTATTTCAGTCTGATTGGCATGTTCATAGGCATTGCATGACTAATGAATGCCATTGTGAAGAATCTGCAATTTAGGTTTAGGTTGCATCGGGTGTATTTTGTTTCAATCTGATGTTGGCATTGCACAGCTAATAAATGCAGTGGTGAAGAATCTGCAATGTGACAATCCTCAAAAACTTGCATATGTGATTTGATATTTTGTCCTTGGCATTGTCTTGATTTAAGTCGCATCAGATGCATTGTGTTTCAGTCCGATGATTGGCTTGTTCATTAGGTGATTGTTGGCATTGCACGACTAATAAATGCAGTGGTGAATATCCTGCAGGAACTTTAATATGTGATTTGCACGTATTAATATTTCGTCCTTTGCATTGTCTTGATTTAGGTCACATCGGATACATTGTGTTTCAGTCCGATGTTTGGCTTGTTCATTTAGGCATTGTATGACTAATAAATGCCATGGTGAAGAATTTGTGATGTGACCCAACCTTTTAAAAAAAAACTTCAATATATGATTTTCATATTTTGTCCTTGGCATTGTCTTGATTTTTGGTTTAAAGGGGTCATCGGATGCAAAATTCACTTTTGTTGTTGTTTGAAAATAAATGTGTGTTGGAAGTGTGTGTACACATCCACCCTATAATGATAAAAATCCACCCAGTGTTTTTTTTTAAATCCCTATTTTATGTGGTGTTTTGTTGTTGGATGTAATAATGAATATAGCAGTCGTCATTTACTCCCGACATCTGAGCCGCTGAAGACGCAGAGGATTAACATTACTTTTGTTTTTGAAGGAAATGCGCCGATCCCCAATCTGCCTAAATGCGTTTAAGTTCGCGCGAATAATTCGTGATCCAGCTTCATCTACACAAGAAGTGAGTATAAAGGGTTTTTTATGAATCTTTGCAAATTTTCCTAATATATGCTAGCAAGTTCCAAGGCAAAAGTAAACAGCAGTATCATGAGAACTGCTGGTCACCCCATGGAAAAGAGGGGCGGGGTGAGCAGAGCTAATTAGCATTTAAAGCAACATGGACTAGAACAGCGTGCTGAAAACAGAGCTGATTTTGACATGGGTAAAAAGGGTGTTTTTTTTTTTTTTACACTACCATTGAGAAATTTTAACCAAAGTATGTTATAGACTTTTCATTAAGACCCTAAAGAATAATTCAACTTGTGGAAAACGGGCATCCGATGACCACTTTAAGTTTCAATCTGATGTATGGCTTTTTCATCTAGGTGGTTGTTGGAATTGCAGGACTAATAAATGCTGTGGTGAAGAATCTGCGACGTGACCCGACCTTCGAGAACTTTAATATGTGATTTTCAGGTAATAATATTTCGTCCTTGGCATTGTCTTGATTTAGGTCGCATCAGATGCATTGCGTTGTGTTTCATCCATGCTCATCTAGCATTGCACGACTAATGAATGCCGTAGTGAAGAATCAAGACTTGACCTTGGGTAAACACCTCCAGATTGATGTCATCTATACAAGCTGTTTTCGCAGGTGAAGCTTCATTAGAGGTTCTTTGAATATCATCACCTCCAGGTCATTAGATTATCATCTTCTCAGGATCTTCTTCCCAATCCCAGTTTGGTTTATAATAGAAAAGCACTTAGTGAAATTCGTTAGAGACGCATACGTGCAACGCAAACACAACAGCTGCTCGCGTGGGTCAGCGCAGTATGTTTGTACCCACCTGAAGAGTGGAAAAGCTCTCCATCCAACACAATGACCCCCTGAGGGAGCGGCTGGCCTTACCGTTCCTAATCACGACGGCCCCTCGGCGATTGTGGCCACTGACTGTGCTAATAAGTGCAAAGTACAGGGGGCTAATACACAACAAAAGGAGGACAAAAAACAAGTAGGGGGAGAAAAACAAACTCTTCAGGCAGGCGCATGCATGGTTAATTCAACAATAAGGCCTCGGAATAATGCCTGCTGGTAGCCTATTAAAGAGGAGGAGAAAGGGAGGAAAAGCAAATAATCTGGTAATGAGGATGAGAAGATGGCCGCTTGCCCTGCTGGTAGGGTGCAGGCAAGCCCGTGCATGCATGTTTCAGGAGAATAGATTACTGGACCCCATTGCCCTGTTATAATGACCCTTCTTGTTAGCCTCGGAGATGGAAGCCTCTTCATTAGATCTCAGAGCAACTCACCTCTGCCTGCATCCCCTTTCCGGGAGACAGGAGCTGTTTTGCACCACTAAGCACATGATTTCTTTGGCTTGCGAATCAGTTGGGACATTATAAGGTGCACTGAAGTCCACTGTATCACCTGTGTGGCTAAATATCGCATGTAGGCTTTAATACAAGAAGATTTCAAATATCGAGATGAAGGGAAATAATTCAAGGAGCTTGTTATTGACTTTATGTTTCAGGTCCTCTGTAATTTGTGTGTAAAAATAATAGTAGTAATTGTACATTTTAAGACTAACCTATTCAAAATGTTTGAATTTGAATATGTTTGTCTGACTAACTCACAGCCCATTTGACAGATATTAAACCCTCTGTAATCATGTAATAAAAATGTGATATATATATATATATATATATATATGTGTGTGTGTGTGTGTAATAACATGCACTGAAGCATAATTGTGCATTTTTATCCTAACCAGCCTTTCTAAGCGAGGAGAAAATATTTCTAATTTCTTTTGTTGTTGACGCCACCTAATCAAACTCTATGTTATTTTGGCGCAAATTCATCTGTCACTTTGTAAAATGGCTAAAACTAAAACAATATTTGGCCCAGTGTTTGTTGCATGTGTTATGCTGGTAAATCACACTTGTGGTGTTATGCATTTACAAAATTGTCAATTTTCCTATTCATGTTAATAATTGTGCATATTGTTGGGCCTGTGCTGTTAATGGGAATATTAATCAATTTAAGTGTTTGATTTTAAGGACATCATTTGTTGCATGTCTATGAATCAAACCCATTTGAGAACCACTGATGTATCTTTTGTTTTTGATAGCTTTTTGTTTACAGTCAGTTCTAAAAAAAAAAAAAAGTTTGAACCTGATTCTGCGATGTTAAGTGTGTTTTTACGCCATTTAAAGGGCCAGAACTCGAGGGATAACGTGACGCGGTGCTACAGCGAGGTCTCCGAGACTCATCATCAAAGACTTCAGCGGTGCTTTCTAATCGGTCGCGGGGAGAGTCGGTTGTGCCAGTGAGACAGGTGAGATGAACTGATAAGAAGAGCCTATTTCAGGCTGCTGAGGGGGAGGACGACGTGACTCCTTTCAGATGACCGCTGGGATGCTGACATACGTGTTACTCTAGAATAAGACAAAACTGAGAGGTGATTAGGTTAAGCTTTGAAAACTAACTGTAAGCTATGATTTGTGTGGAAAATAAATACACGCCACTAGCCATCGCGTTTTTTAAAGCGTTCAACAATTGCAAAATACTTTTCCCTACTTGCGCTGCAATGCATTATTTTCTCCCCTCGAATAAAGACGTTCTCGTTATAGCCAACACACACTTCTGTTATAAAGACTGGATATTTGAGGAAACAGACGCGTCCTTATGTGGAAAGAGAGAGCCAGTCATTTGAATCTCATTAAATGTATGTCTTCATGAAAGGTTCTTTAAAAACTCGCTTGGCTCAGATCCACAAAGCTCTGAAGTGTCCATCAGCCAATTTATGAACACCTAAGATCACGTCTCTCTCTCTTGCTGCCAATATAAGAATCTTCTCGATTCATATAGTAGGCCTATATATATTTGAAAAAAAAATTTTGCCATTTAAAGGTAATATCATCCAGCATGCATTTTAGCATTAATTACAGCGTTAGCATTAATTGCCATTAAATAAACAGCTAAATGATTGTAATTGATCGTGCCTTGTATTGACAGCATCCTTCAAGATGCGCATTAGAGCTGTTATTTATTGCTTTGCTCCCAACTATTTGAGAAAAAAAAATCAGACATGTACTTATTTTATTTGTTATTTTAAATATGACTAATCATTTCAAAATATAATATAAAATACATTTTGACAAACGCAAAGTATTATTTTCCCAAAATGTGGTCGACTCCTGCCTGATTTGATTGTTTCAGGCATGTTTTGAAGCATAAAGCGTTGAATGCGTAACTTGAAGTAGTCCATCCATATAAAATATGTATATGTCTCGGGAGCAGAAAACAGATCTTCAAGAGAAGCCAAGATTTCACGCTAAAACGCAAACATTTTAGGTAGGGTGCGCGACGTGTCATTTCAAGCGCTTTAAATAATGAATAATGAAGTTTTCGTAGTAAACCGAGTGACTTCCACCGCATAGAAATATATTCACACAAAGGCCTCGAAGGGAAGACAATAGGGTTTATTTGCACTACTTAGTGCGCTGCTGAAGAATCACGAGAGCCCCAATTTTCACAGACTATAGTATACAAACATGGATGACCAGCAGAAGCGAATACACTGGCGTGTAAGCCTCTTTGATTACACTAATTAAGTTCTGTCTAATTAAATTACCGTCACGTGTTAACCAATAGCAAAAGTTGATTCATTAACCATGCAGACCGAGGACTGAAAAGCAAAGCCTTCCCTGATTGCAGGCTAGTGTCAATTGGCTAATTTGCTGTCTTGCACAAAGTAGCTCGAACCGCAGGAAGGCGTTCGTTTTCTCTCGCGCTCGCGTTAATTGCTATTTGTCATCGAGCGATGCAGCTCGAGCCTTGCATCTCGCCAGCTCTCGCGCGCTCCAAGAAATGCATGATTGTGGGCAGTGGCTACCCAAACGCACAAGCATCTGAGCTCGCCTTGCAGGACTACCCTATTATATCTATCGGCGACAACCTGGAGAGAAGTTCACCTCTGAAAAAAAACTCCGTTGGGATGACGAATCAGTCAGAGGCAGACAATTTCGCCGACTCGAAGGACTCGTCAGGGGACGTCCAGCGAGGCAAACTCTCTCCTGATCTTGACGGAGTCGGCGACAGTCGTCACACTTTCGATGGATCTGCGGGAGAAAGGTATCTTCTGTCTCAGTCCAGTCAAGTGCAGCCGAGTCCCACCACCATGTTTCCCTACCCGGGTCAGCATGGACCGACGCACCCAGCTTTCTCCATCGGCAGCCCGAGCCGGTACATGGCTCACCATCCGGTCATCACGAACGGAGCTTACAACAGTCTGCTGAGCAACTCTTCTCCGCAAGGCTACCCGACGGCAGGCTACCCGTACGCGCAGCAGTACGGACACGCGTACCAAGGCACGGCTTTCTACCAGTTTTCCTCCGCTCAGGCCGGCCTCGTGCCCGGTAAAGCGCAGGTTTACCTCTGCAACAGGGCCCTGTGGATTAAATTTCACAGACATCAAACGGAGATGATTATTACCAAGCAAGGACGGTAGGTGATTTCCAGTTATCCGTTTCGCAAACTATAGGCTATTTTCCACAAATTGATGCTTTTGTTTCGCAAATATCTATGGAGCGAATTAAGGTGGGCAGATTACACGGAACACTTTTTTTTTTTTTTTTTTTTTTTTTTTTTTTTTTTTTTTTTTTTTTTTTTTTTTTTTTTTTTTTTTTTTTTTTTTTTTTTTTTTTTTTTTTTTTTTTTTTTTTTTTTTTTTTCTTTCCCGAAAAAGCTTAGATATTTTCAGTCTGTACTTTCCTAGAAAAAAAAACGCATATTAATTTAATTCAGCCTATTTATATTCTTTAATGCATTTTTTTTCTTTTTTTATTATTAGTTGGATTTGTTTTTCCAAACATTTAGAACCATTTAATATTCCTGCTATATCCTCCTTTTAATAAGTTTTTTTTATTTGCTTTTCCGAGATATCCAAAATATTAACATTCGTTTAGTACTTAATTATCCCTTTTAAAAACAATTAATCAAAAAACATCATGATATATTTTTTATATTCACATTAAAGATTGCAAACCCACGTTTGCTAGCAGAGCTACAGTATTGTGCACTGAAACTTTATATTTTATGTACCCTCAGGCGAATGTTCCCGTTTTTGAGTTTCAATATATCTGGTCTTGACCCAACGGCGCATTACAATATCTTTGTGGACGTGATTCTTGCGGATCCGAACCATTGGCGCTTTCAAGGAGGAAAATGGGTCCCGTGCGGCAAAGCGGACACGAATGTGACAGGTAAACAAATATGGTTTTACTTTATGGTTTTGGGTTTATTTATTCTTATTTTAATAATAATAATA